AGAAGAGAAGAGAAGAGAAGAGAAGAGAAGAAGACAAAGCAGAAAAAACTTACCTTCTCATTTTGCATGTATTTATTTAGACCATCCAGGTGCGTTAAAAATACTCACAATTTGTAGGACTTCATTGGTAATACAGATTACAATTGAGGAACAATCTTCGGCAATACTTGTTTTCATAAGCACATTATCGACCTTATAAATATCATTCTTATTTCAAAGAAAGAGAACAACTTAAGTAGAACAAAACTGTACCTTTGTTTGTTTTTTTTCTTTTGACATAAATGTTATTTATAGTCCATGAAAATCGTAAAGGGACTCCACTGAGTTTTTTTTTTTTTTTTTTTTTTTTTTTTTTGACATGACGGAACAAGGAATATTTTCCCGTGACTTGTGTACCATTTGATGAAGTTCTCGACAAAGTAATGATTTCATGCTTACTTTCACGCATTTCCCTCTTCGCATTTCTTTCCAGAATAATCTTTATTATTGTGAAAAATGACCAAAAAAATCGCTGTAACGCTTTTCATACATATCTGTCGAAGAATTGCACAAAATTCGATATTCACTTTAATTCTGAGTATATTCCGTTATTATCCTTTGCAGATTTTCCAATTCAAAATTCTTCTTTTAATCTATGTAAGAATTTCAATTTTATGTTTTAAGGCTTTTTGACCTCAGTGGAGTTCCGTTAAAACAAGCCGAATGACTTAGTGGACTTATCATGTTTTTAAAAAATTTTAAAAAGAGGTCTAACACTTACAAAATGTTGTTAAAATATTCCAACATTCTATCGTACTCTGCTTGTGAGTCAATAACCGCCAACTCACAATTGCCGTAACTCTTGCACAGGGCTTGAGCCGCTGTATTGTTTGGTCTGCTAAATATATTGTGAGTTTTATACAGAAATTCTCCGCCATCAACTGTAATAATTATTAAAACCAAATTATATATACAATATAGATATTCATACATTTCAAAGATGTAAAACAAAAGAACTCTTTACAAATGGACGAAAATCGAGCATTAATATTTTGTCACCTTCAAATTATTAAAGAATGAACATGTATTAAAAATATACTTATTTATTTCACACCGGTCCTTATAAAGTATTACCACTGAATTTCCAGCATTTGCACCACGTGATGTTCCAAAAAAATCATTATTAGATCAAGTCTTATCAATTTTGCCCTGTTTTGATTTCCCGAGTCCATAAAATTCCTATCAAATCTATATTATACTGTATTTTACACAAATATAGGTTTGACAGTATTGAACTTAACAATTTATAAAAATCTAATGCTATATCTATACAGCCTCGTTTTCATTTTCAAGGTCCGTGTTTTTTTGTTTTGTTTTGTTTTGTTTTTTTCATATCAAAACAGCCCTATTTACTCATTTGTTGTTTTCGCATATGTGAGATGTTTTGTATTTTGACATGTTATTAAATCAATGAACTTTTTTTTTCTCTCTAATATTTTCCTCTTATTCTAAGGTATGTTAACTTTTTGCATTACAAATATATAATGTTATTATACAAACCCAATCCATTATGCTCTATGAAATGTAGAGTGAAAAGCATTGCTAATCTCCAAAACAATGTCATATTTGATATTCTAAAAACATCCAAACAAATATATAAAGTACGGAAGTCCCCAGTGCCTCTTGTTTGCTTGTACCACTAATTCGCGCATCTTAAAGACTACTGCAGTATGGTTAAGCTCTGGGGTAAAACACATTAAACTTTTTGTTTGGATATCGGTATAGCAAACTTACCATTACATAAAACAATCCGTGACCTTTTTCAAGGGCCTGTTAAACTTAACTATAAAATGTAATTTTGATTATAAAATTATCAGACAAAGACATATAGGTTATATAGTTATAAATTATCGTTTAAACAACAGTTATAATAACGACCGTAGGCAACAAGTAGTGTAAATGCCGTTTATAACGATTTAATGATTGACCCGGCTAACAATGAATACATACATCATATATAAAATAAAGTGGTCGCTCATCAAAAGTGAAATGCATATAAAGGTACAAAACTTTTATTTAAGACCCATTATGCTCCAGAAATGCTTTTATTTTTATTTTTCAAAAAACGTTTTTTTTCCTGCTTTTATAAGAGTTTCCAAAAAGTTATAAATTAGCCAAATTCCTGAATCATCTCTTCCTTCTTTTACCTTTAGCAATAAGCACAATTTTAGTGGTTCAGTAAGAAACAACATATTAACAGTTATCCAGTCATACTGCATGGAAATGAATACATTATGTGTAATTAAGTGTTATACATTACTATTAACATGTAAACAGTCATTCTACTGTCACTGGTTCTTGTTACTGGGACATGTGGGGGTTGTGCCTTTTCTTGTTGATCTTGTTTATCATATTTGAGTATTTTTGAATGGAAGTCCATATGAGCCGCGTCATGACAAAACCAACATAATGGGTTTGCGACCAGCATGGATCCAGACCAGCCTGCGCATCCGCGCAGTCTGATCAGGATCCATGCTGTTCGCTATCAGTTTCTCTACTTGTTATAGAGTTGGTAAGCGAACAGCATGGATCCTGATGAGACTGCGCGGATGCGCAGGCTGGTCAGGATCCATGCTGGTCGCAAACCCATTATGTTGGTTTTGTCGTGACGCGGCTCATATATCAATTTATCTACATTTTAACACTCTCTCATGACAATGATTTCCAATTCAGCGCTTCTTTCTCTACAGCTGATGAGTAACTAACATGATCTAAAAAACATTATTTCAACAATAAAAAACTCATGATTGCCTTTTCTAAAGATGGAAAAATTTACTGTTTCTAAGGGATAATGTGCCTTTAATAATTAATTAATATGAAAAATGAAAAATCGATCGAACTATCATAACAAAAAACATCATTAAAGCTATTTATTCTTCAAATTTTATTGTAGTTTATATCTGAAGCGTTTTTGAACGAACATAGACTTCATAAAACATCTGTTAATGATTTAAATGATATTGATTTACATTATTTCATATTTCGGACTATTTGTTGTTTATCCTAGCAAACTGTCTGCTTACCACTGTACTGTATCCATTCCATATCCTCATTTTCTTTTTCAAAATTTGAAGTACTGTTAGCCTCGTTGCTGATTAAAAAAATTGTGATTTTGCGATCGGTCAAAAGGGGTAAAATTATTCATTCAAACAGTCTGACGACCTATCATATTCTACTGTTACAAGATTAGGACATCGTTAATTTCCGTGCAGTCTGGCTAAACTTTTTTCAACTGTTACAAGATCAGGATGTGATTGTTAACCTGATTGATAATGTCCTGATGATGTAACATATTTCTGATGTAAAAGTATGCGGCGATGGCCCTAACTGGACACCGTATATACATGTACATCCAATTTCATATCTTTTTTATTATTTTATAAGACATATTTTGTAGTGTTAAGCAAAAGTTGACCTGACATTTATTCATATATTAATCTTTCACCTGAAAGTATAAATAGTTTATTAAGGAGAACAAATTCACCGTCACATATTTGCATGAACTTAAGGTTGCAACACGACTAGTACTCCATCTTTTGTTAGTTTTTAAGAAAAATAAATTATTGTTTAGATACCGAATATTATGAACTTGTAGTATTTTATAAATACTGGTCAACGCAAGGCATTTACAATTCATAACTTGTCATTTATCTACTTCTTCAGTAAAAGGGTGAATAAAATAATGGGAGATTTTTTTAATGTCATATTTTGCATAAAATCACCGTGACCTTACATTTCGTCATATTTGTAAAATTGCTATTTTATTTCATGATACAGTATATTTTTTGCAACAACTACCCAAATTCGTTTTGTATTACACGCATATATATATATCACGGTGAAACCCAATCCATCATGTCTGATCAGGATCCATGCTGTTCGCTTACCAACTCTATTACAAGTAGAGAAACTGAAAGCGAACAACATGGATCCTGATCAGACTGCGCGGATGCGCAGGCTGGTCTGGATCCATGCTGGTCGCAAACCCACTACGTTAGTTTTGTCATGACGCAGCTCAAATATAAAACATTGGTACACTCCAAAACAATATCATATTTGATATTCTATTACATACAAACAATATTATATAAAGTACGGAAGTCCCCAGTGCCTCTAATGTGTTGGTAGCTCTAATTAATGCATGTTTAAGACGACTATATGACTATATGTAACATAGGAACTCACTTACGTAACCGCAGATTGCGAAGCATATTTCTGATCGTTACAAACGTTTCTCTTACATCTTAATATCTTTTTTGTATTATCCGAGTGTATGGCTTCAAAGAATATAATATCAATTAAACACAATCTGTTACTTTTAGACTTTTACTTTTACGTTATTACTCTTTTCTTTTTTTCAATATACCGTAAATTTGACTAATTTTAAAACTAGCAGATTATGTTAAATTTAGATAATATTATTAAAGACCATCTACTCGGATGATATAAAAAGATATTCAAAAGTCTTACAAACAATGTTTTAAACCGGTACGGATTCTGAGTTAAGCGCCGCAATATACGGTTCCCATGGGACCGGAAGTACGGGAAACTGATCACTTTTGTCGTATTTCCGTGTTGTCGTCTGGCGCTTAAAATCGCTGTCATTGACAAATAATTACAAAATAAGGATAAGGATCAATAGTTTTCAGATTTCTTTTAATTATGAGATTCCCTATAAAGTAAAAAAAGAAGTCTTTTCACTTGTGTATATATTAATCTTGCTTATTTGTCTATGTAAAATTTGCAGTATTAAAAAAAAGTAGAAACAACGTTGTTGTCAATGTATACCTATGACGAATTATCTAGATATATGCTTAAAGAACCTTATCTCGCTTAATCTGTCTTACAATAAAGCTTTTAGTAAATGTTTGTCTACCATTTACCACCATACATATACTATGTCTCCGGTATACAAAGTCCTTAAACAAGTGTTACCTGCCACAATAAATTGATGGTACTCATTAATTTTACAAAACAGTGCAAATGTTACTGTTTCTTTAGAAAGTATGGAGCAAAATTTCTCAGCGACGGACGAGATAGCTAAATTCAGAATTGGAGAGGATTTAAAAGCTGATGTAGAGAGTATAGATATAGATGAGACAAGTGAATTACAGGACATAGATGATGTTCATGATGATGATAAGGATGAGGCAGAAAGGGACACGTGGGGCGGTGAATTCGAGTTTATGTTGTCGCTTGTAGGATACACTGTTGGGCTGGGAAATATCTGGCGTTTTCCGTATTTTTGTTACCGAAATGGTGGAGGTATAATTTATCATCTATTTAATTTTGCTTTCAATGTTTCACTTTTCGAAGAAGATTCTAAGTTAAGTATATGCAAGTTTCTAAATAAAATATACCCGATAAGCTGAAGCGTAAAATAAAATGAATTAATAATAACTATATAATAACTAATGAAATAAAACTGACATATTCATTTGAAATAAAACCTGGGTAAATCATGTCAATCTTTTTAATATCTCCTCAGAAATAAATATCTCGTTGCAATACGTTTAAATCGCAAATGATTGAAGCTGCAATCGTGATTTCGTGCATGAAGTTGAAATGTCCTTTCTGGAATGTCCTTCTCCCTATATTATAATGCAACGCTTATTTGCATATAAATTACATAAATAACATTAAAGTACAATAATATACTCGTACAATACATGTATATTTAATCAAAATAAATGAAAACATAAATTCAAAGTAATTATTTTAATCATTTATAGCGTGTAATTAATATTACAGAGAATTCTCAAATATATCATGAAATGTGATGTTTCAAATACAAGTATAACTTTACAATCAAAATTGCAAAATCAAAGCAAAAGGAATGCGCAGTTATTCAACATTGGCAAAGTTAAAAACATGATTACTGTAGTGGATAAGTAAGAATTTATTTCAGAAATTCCTCAAGCCGGACCAACGTTATAGTTATCATACTTATCAAAGGATGATTCAGAATATCCCTTAACATGTGCACGTATTTTTCTACTATTTTCAGGATGTGCAATTATTCCTTTTATCCTTTTCTTGACAATATGTGGGGGACCGTTGTATTACCTTGAAGTATGCCTTGGCCAATGGTCGGGGATGTCTCCCATCACAGTTTGGAATATATGTCCGCTTTTCAAAGGTAATTTTATTCTCAGACTTACATTTGTCTGCTTTTATGGAATCACTGATTTCCGTTGTTCTTTTTTGTTTGTTTGTTTTTTCTTTCTTTTTTAAATTCTGAATATGTAATTTTGCAACAGTCGGTGCTAGGGTGCAATGATCTTATTAAATGCATCAATGCAGTTAATAAATCATAAAAAACAACAATCTGAGCTGATATTGTTCAACCATTTCATTTATTTTATTTGTTGTGACCTCTTTTTTATAAAGTTAATTTAGGTTATATATCCATATAACTCGAATGGTCAGAATTAAAAAAAAAAACATAAATTTTACAATACATGTATTGTATAAGATATAAAAGATGACGTGTGTGGTTAAGGTCGCTGGATTACAATGAGTGGCTTCTGATAGCTTTTGGTTTAAATTCCGCCATAGACTTCAACAAAACAAACGAACAAAAAAACAAACACGCGCATTCCTGCCCACTAGATGATTCTATACGTAGTTAATACTACAACTAGTTTTAAAGAGTACCCTGGTGACTAAAATGGTATCATGTAGATAATTGACTGGCGCCTATTGTGAATAACGTACAAAGCATGTAAATTACTAAATACTTGAAAATAAACTGCTTTCAAATTTGAAATGCCTTATGTAAATGAAAGTATTAACTATTTAAAACTCCTAGATTCGTTTTAAAGTTCTGTTTTTTTTTATTTGTGAACAATTTCAGGCGTTGGGTTGGTCATGGTCTCTTTATCCCTGATTTACATTTGGTATTATGGAGCGGCCTTTAGCTGGGTGATTTACTTCCTCATCCAGTCGTTCTACCCAACACTTCCATGGAGCCGATGTGGACAAAGCTGGAACACTGAGTTATGCATTGGTAATTTGTTTATGTTTCAAAATTAATTAAAAATGACCGGTCGGGTAGAAAAATACCTTATCAGAAAAACTTATATATATTGTCTGTAAGACTAATAAATCCATAATCAAACAGAAAAGAGTGTTTTAAAAGGTAAAATCTGTAATATTACTTATTATTACATCGTTAATTCAACACTAGACCTTGTTTTATTTACTGTTGGTTAAAGATATATCAATAATAATGATTTTTTAGATGAATTCGAGCAGATATTTATATGCATGAAAATTAGGTGAAGAACTATACAAAATGTGTTGATTTTTACATTTACAAATAAGAATGCAATGACGTAATAAAACACATAAAACAAGTTATCAAAATATATCATATCTGGCCTCTTTGGTGGACTGCTTTTGAACGGTTTTCGACTTCGATTCACTTAATTTTGCACAGTTGTCTGTTCGAATCTCGTTCGGTATTTTGGATTTTAAAAGGAAGCTATACAACTTGTACACAGAAGGTCGGTGGTGGTTTTACCCGGATTCCCGCTCGTGCCTGAAATATTGCACACGACATACTTTTCCCGCAAGTCAAGCTAGAAAGTCGACATATGACTTGTACAGACTAGGTGTGACTTAAAAAAACAACAAACAACCAAACTAAGTTATCACATCTTGAACATGAGATTCTCCCGTTTAGCTCAGTAGGTAAAACATCTGATAAATTACTCGGGGGTTGCTGGCACGATCCTTGGGCGAGGCGTTTTTACTCCGTGATCAGTTCTCAGACATTGAGTCTAGTGGTCAATTGCTAGAAGTTTTCAAATAGAAAATATGAATTAATCTTTTTGGTATTTCTATCCAGACTCGACAACAAATACCACTGACAAAATGCTTAACATGACAAACAATGGTTTGAGTGTTACATCTATCACATTCAGATCGGCCTCAACGGAATTCTTTGAGTAAGTAAATTTGACGGTATATTGATCCCTTTAAATTGAAAACGGATAGTTTCTAAACAAAAGGAAACCGGACAAGTTTATTGATGAAATCCAACAAGTTATCGGTTGGTTTCACTGAAGGTATCTAATATCTTGTTTATAAAAATTTACCAAAATATTTAAATTATGAATATACAAACTATAAAAAATTCTAAGTCATATATTGTACGTATAATTTGTTTTCCGAACACTCAAATCTTCTGCTTCCACTTACACCTTTGACGAGTTAGTATTGTATTTTCGATGACACAAACTTAAACAATATTATTAAAGTATTATTCTCAGAATTAAATTCGTTTCAACAATAGACCTGGATAATTATGGTGACTGCATTACACTGCAGATATGACCGTCTAACAAACAGTCGCTTAACGCGTGTATGTCATATCACAAAGATATTCGTATCAATTTTTTTACCATATAAGAATTATTTCTTTTTTTCAGGCGGAATGTTCTTCAAAAGTCATCTGGAATAGACGTCATTGGTTCAATCCAACCTCATCTAATTGGCTGTTTCATTCTCGGATGGCTTTTAGTTTTCTTGTGTCTGGCCAAAGGTGTTAAATCACTTGGAAAGGTATCTCATTATACATGGACAATATTCATTTTGACAAAATATAAGCAATGAACTAACAGCGTTTGAGCCACGCGATGTTCCAAAATATATCATTATTGGATCCAATCATACCGATTGAGCTATGTGACTATTGTAAGAGTCCAAAATCAATATCAAATGCATATCGTACCCTATATAAACTCGTCTCCATTTTCAGGATTCAAAATTCATATATTAATTATTGTAAAATGTCAAAACTGTTGTGTAAATGAAGAGATTATTATACATTTTTAAGAACAATACTTAATCTACTTTGACTTGGCTCAGCTAGCGTCTCGTCAAATATAGGTTTGACAGCTACAGAATTCAGTATTGTATTACCTGTTCGGTGAAGGTTTACTGACAAGGTTGGTTATACATTTTGATACTTTCTTCGCATCGTTCATACTGTCCATTGACTGGTGATATTTTCAGGTTTTTTTAGATTCGTTTCTCGAATGCTTTTAATTTTTTGAGAACATTAAAAGTGACAACTTTGGGAAAAAATTGGAAAATGATTTTTTAATTAGATAGCTATTGTTATTGTTTCATGTAGTTTACGTTATTGTTTCAGGTAGTAAATGTATTTGTTTCAGGTAGTTAATGTTATTGTTTCAGGTAGTTTATGTTATTGTTTTAGGTAGTTTATGTTATTGTTTCAGGTAGTTTATGTTATTGTTTCAGGTAGTTTACGTTATTGTTTCAGGTAGTTTACGTTATTGTTTCAGGTAGTTTACGTTATTGTTTCAGATAGTTTATGTTATTGTTTCAGGTAGTTTACGTTATTGTTTCAGATAGTTTACGTTATTGTTTCAGGTAGTTTATGTTATTATTTCAGGTAGTTTATGTTATTATTTCAGGTAGTTTACATTATTATTTTAGGTAGTTTATGCTATTGTTTCAGGTAGTTTATGTTATTGTTTCAGGTAGTTAACGTTCTTATTTCAGGTAGTTTACGTTACAGTAACATTGCCATACATTCTTCTAACAGCTTTGTTAATACGCGGTGTGACGTTGGACGGGGCTTGGAATGGACTTCAACTTTATCTAATTCCAGATTTCAGTAGACTTATACATGGACAGGTCAGTTCTTTTTATTTAACCCATTACTTCATGAGCATTTTGTGAAAAATGGCTGTTTTCATTGAAAAGTCTCCCGTTACAAGTTCAAATTGCTATAATACTACAAAAACCACTTCAACACTAATCAAACTTGGCACAAATGTTGACTAGACCATTGCCCTCAGGCTTAAATTTTCTGTTACCATGGCAACGAGGGGACATCTCAAAATTGCCAAAAATCACTATTTTGCGTTGATTTTTTCCATCAAAATTGATTTCAAAGTGCATGCTGCAACTTCTCAATGGATTGAGATAGTGTCAAATGCTTTTCAGCGTTGGTTACACGTTACCTTATGATCAATCTGGGTTTATTTATAGCCTCTCACAAGTCCAAAATTTCCTTGGCGATAAGGGGGACTCCGCCCCCTTCAAACCCCCCAATCAGAAGGGGCACATCCCCCTTCTGGCAACCCCTGATGTATCTTTTGGTTGGGGGGCCGCGCCGAAAAAGAGGTCACTTTTTTAACAACATTTCTCAAACAAAAACAAGTATTGGAGGCCTAAATAAGGCATTTTTTTCACCATTTGAGACAACAAAAAGGGGGGGGGAAGGCGTTAAAAGGCGTGTATATGACGTAATGGGTTAAATATATCCAATATAATTGTATCTGTTATTACATGTTTTCTTCGGTAATGTATTCATGCGTGCGCAGTTTTTTATGAACTTTTATTTGTTCTTGGATCTCTTTATTTCAGGTTTGGATCGAAGCTGCGGTGCAATGTTTCTTCTCACTTGGACCGGCTTGGGGAGGCGCTATCACCATGGCAAGTTTTAACAAGTTCAACCATAACGCATTAAGGTAAGTTCCCTTTAAGATGTAAAATTCATTTCTTTGTTGTTTTTTCTGTTTCCGTTGATTTATAAGTTTATAAGTCATGACGACGATAAAAAGTTATTGTTTGGCGAATATGCAATTAAAATTCTTAAGGCTTGAGTAAATAACCAGATGGGTCAAGGCTTGAGAAAACCACTAGATGGGTCAGCAATCATACATTGAATCATGGTGCGATCGAGCGCATTAGTAGAACCATCTTCATTCTGTTATGAACATTGACTACATCATTGTCTAGATACAAATGTATTTAACCGTCAATCTGCTGTTGGCAACAAATTCTACAAATGCGGTAAGGCCAAGTTGAACAGACCCTTCCTTTACGCTTCAACATGGTCTACTTCAACATGGTCTACTTTAACATGGTCTACTTCAACATGGTCTACTTTAACATGGTCTACTTTAACATGGTATACTTTAACATGGTCTACTTTAACATGGTCTACTTCAACATGGTCTACTTCAACATGGTCTACTTTAACATGGTCTACTTCAACATGGTCTACTTCAACATGGTCTACTTCAACATGGTCTACTTTAACATGGTCTACTTCAACATGGTCTACTTTAACATGGTCTACTTTAAGATGGTCTACTTTTACATGGTCTACTTTAACATGGTCTACTTCAACATGGTCTACTTTAACATGGTCTACTTCAACATGGTCTACTTCAACATGGTCTACTTCAACATGGTCTACTTCAACATGGTCTACAATGTTCGCTATTAAGTCAGTTAATATTTTGAAATTTTCCCTAAAATGACAAATTGATAAATGTACTGATTTATTTTCATTTAAAGGCACATTCTGAGTCAAAATGATTTTTCTTTTTGAAATGGCAAACGATTTCGTTAGATATTATTACCTGAATTAAGTAGCAATGAATGTGATATTATCCGTCATAAAAGATGCTAAATGTAAACAAAGTAGTATTTTGACTTCCATAAAAAATACCAAATAACTATAACTACACTAATTTACAATGAGTAAAATTTTGGAAAGTAAAACAGGACACCAAAAATTTAAAAGCTTTTGAGAAATAAAATTAAAAGTATTTCTGCGACTTAATGGGCCTTTAAGATTATAAGCGGGGTTAGGAGTAACGGCTCATATCGGGAAGCGACAATATTTGTCTCTCGGTCAAGACCTTTCACATCGAAAAGTGCAAACTAGTACAAGTTCCAAAGTTGTATGCAATATGGTAAGTACAACTAATCTTGCGACAGAAATATATTTTCATTTTTTTATTATTTTAGGGATTCGGTCGTTGTTTGTATAGCTGACGCCTTTACAGGAATATACAGTGGGGTGGTGGTGTTTTCTGTTATAGGCTTCCTTTCAAAAGAAACTGGCACATCGATTGACGAACTTCCTTTCTCAGGTTTGACAATGCGTTGCAACGTTATACACACTCCATGACAGTGCTGCTTTTTCTTCCTTCCTTTTTAGACCTTTCATTTATGTTCATTTAATATTGATGATTAAATTCTGATAAAGCCGTTGCTAGTGGGCATGAAACATCTTGCACCATTTTCTGTTATGAACAGACAAATCCGAATATTCACAACTATTTGTACATTGTATTTGTTCTCATTGTTACATAGGGATCGCTTATTGTTATAACTTCGTAACATAGAATATATATTTTATACATTACAGTATCCAGGTTTAGTTCTATATATGGTGATATGCAACTGGTATATGAGCCGTGTCACGAAAAAACCAGCATAGTGCGTTTGCGACCAGCATTGATCCAGACCAGCCTGCGCATTCGCTCAGTTTGATCAGGATTCATGCTGACCGCTATCAGTTTCTCTACTTGTAATAGGGTTGGTTAGCGAACAGTATGGATCCTGATCAGACTGCCCGGATACGCAGGCTAGTCTGGATCCATGCTGGTCGCAAACCCATTATGTTGGTTTTGTCGTGACGCGGCTCATATTTTAACACATCTATTACAGGGGCAGGTTTAGCTTTTATAGCATACCCGGAAGCTCTGAGCCGCCTGCCTGTACCACATGCATGGTCCATCTTGTTCTTTTTAACCCTTGTACTGGTCGGCATAGATACACAGGTGCAAATATTTATATTTTAAGCATGTCAAATACAAAACAACAAAGTTAAAGGACTCTATCGTCGCTTTTTGTTTTTAACTTTTACTTTTCACAATTTCACAATTGTTGGTCTTCAAGTATTTCCACCACGAACATGCCTTCTGCATTTTCAATTTTTGGAAAGTAAATTATTCATAAAAGTTCTGTATACATGTACATGTATACACTGGCAATAATGATTGTAATATAAGATGGTTAATCTTATAAGTTATAAAACTTTTAATAGTTTCAATTAATTTCAGAAAATGGCCTTATAAGAATGATATTCGGCTACAGAAAGAACTTTAAACAATTTTTGCACAACACGATTTATTGAAAAAATAAAGCATTAAAATTTTATGTTTATAATATTTAATTTTAATTCATTTTATTTATTTATAAATCATGTTTATATCATACAAGATCTTACTACAATATTCTACCTCTACTAATCGTTAACACTTCATATTTTGGTGATCTGTTTAAATGAGAGAGAGAGAGCCTACGATGCTTCCGTTGTAGAGTCATCGGCCATAACAAAGCTGAAAAGGGTAAAATAAATAATGTCTAAAAATATCCGATTCAAAAGAACATGCTTGGACAAAGTTAATATTTGGTAAGAAAGTTCTATAGATCTATATTAACGTCATTTTCGTATCAAAATTGTATTCAAAATGTAGAGGAACAAGGTTCCGGGTGGCAAAGCATTCTTCGGTTTTTGAAAATCAAGCACGTTTGTGTTTGGGAATTGTGTTTACCTTTTTCAGTTTGTTTTTGGTCGTTGGCTCTACAGCGGAAGTTTCGAAGGGGCTCTGATTTAAACAGATCATAAAACTGTAAGATACACTTTTTAGTTGGGTTGTTTTAACAATATTACCTCCCCTCATAGTTCGGATGTTTTAACAATATATTGTCTCCCTTTACAGTTCGGATGTTTTGAGACAGTGACGAATGCCTTTATAGATCTAAACTACAAAAAGCTACATAAATACAGGCTCTTAATTTCTGCAGGGCTGGTAATATTCCTCATAATATCAGGAATTCCTCTCACCACATCGGTAAGTTAATTGAGCCGCGCCATTACAAAACCAACATAGTGCGTTTGCGACCAGCATGGATCCAGACCAGCCTGCGCATCCACACATTCTGATCAGGATCTATGCTTTTCGGTTACGAGCCCTTAAACAAGTAGAGAAACTAAATAGTTCAGTGAACTCTAAACCTGCTGAAATTGCCATAAATCATATAAATTGTATCCTTACTGACGTTCAACTACCCTTCTTCGCTAGGTAGCTAAGAGTAACGGAGCGAAAACGATGCTCTGATTTTAATGAGATTGTGATTTACATTGCAACTTTGGGTGGTCTTTTCGAATTTTAGGGGCTTCTCAATATAAGAATACAAAAAGTGGAGCTTCTCACAGCACATAGCCTGGCAGACTGCACGGGTGTGCATGCTGGTTTTGCTGTATTCTTGTGGCAAATTTTTGTCTCTTTTGGCTCCAGCAAGTTAAAGTTTAGATGCTGAAAGATATATATGTATATAAAGATCTTAAGATACTGAAAAATTACGTCAGTCAAATATTTCTGAGTATATTTTTGTCAAACATAATTTGCCTGATATTGAACGTCTACTCAACATATATTTATATAAGCGTTTTATTTGTGCATATATTTGATGTGTGTACATATGAATTATTTATATATTTCTATCACAAGGCTGGATACTATATCTTCATGCTCATTGACTCTTACATGGGTACTTTCAATCTGGTAGGAACTGCTCTCCTTGAATGTATTGTTGTAGCTTGGATTTATGGTAAACCTTGAACATTTATATATTTTATTTGCTTCAAAAATAAGGACATTAGATATAAAGCTTAATTTACATTATAATTAATGCACACATCTTTGTTTACTTTTGAGTTATTTTTATTTCGTGTATTTTATGTGTGTATTTTATGTCAATAAATGTAATGTGTCGGGGACGATCTTTGTCTGTACTGGTCGCAAGGGTATATTCAGTTACCGAAAGCTGGTTTAAGTACTTGTCAATATATGTTTGTCATTAATAATATGTAGTAGTTATTTAGTTACTGATTTTAGCGTCATATACATTTGGACGAAGGACTAACGTATCAAACTGGTATTATTTCAGGGGCTAATCGCTTCTCAGATGATATAGAGACGATGTTAGGAAAACGACCCAATATACTCCTCCGTCTTATCTGGTGTTTTGTCATTCCTTTATTTCTTCTGGTTAGAAACATTTTCCTTCTCTATCTTAAAATTAAACGACTCTTAAAGGCACATTATGTCCCAGAAACGAATAAAAAATCGAACTTCGTTAGAAATGGCATGTTTAAATAATACTTTAAGAGCATGTTAGATGCATATTACAAAAAGAATTAAGCGCAATTATATGTCATAAAAGTAGTAAATATAAAAAAGTAGTTGTTTACTTCCAAACAAAATGCTAAATCACTATAACTGTAACTATTACTGTATTAATTTTTAATTTCCAAAAAGCAACAGGAGAGAAGATGGTTAATATAATTGGTCAATGAGTAGCTTTTTTGGAAACTATTTAGATAAACTAAAAATAATAAGTTTTAGGGGAATGAAGAAAAAAAACTAATTTTGGGACAAAATAGGCATTTAGTGCTCTTTCATTTGCTATTTTTATCATACGTATATAACTACTTCTCAATCGTGTTTTATTTCAAATTTTATTTCTTTTTTTATTGAGAATGTTTCATTTTCCATTATAGTTAAACAATTCATTGTCCTCTTTCATCTGGTGTTTGATTATACCTTCATTTCATACAGTATGATATAACTTCCTTATTGATTTTTTCTTTATTGAATAAACCTTTGTATGGCCAATACTTTGGACCGGCGAGATTGTCTTTTGGTATATAAAAAATATTCATTTTCGTTTTTGGAGCTATGGTTAATTTTTTATATAGAGAAGCCAAGCTACTTAATTTTTTTCTAGCCATGCTTTCATGTGGTACACACATGGTCGTGACCCCAGTAGGTCTCGAACCCATAATCCCTTGGTTGAGAGGTAGACACCTTAACCCATTAGGCAACCACTCCACTTGTAGTAATAATTAGTTTGATAAGAGGGGATAGTTATTTAAAGTTTAATAGGAATTTTTATATTTTCTGCTAAACAACAATTTGAACTTATCTTTAATACATATATGTTTCATTTTTATTTTCAGGGAATTTTTATACCGACAATCGTTTCCTATACCACACCAACATTGGGTAGCTATGAGTACCCAATTCATGCACAAACTATTGGCAATTTGTTTGCCTTTGTACCAATAAGTTTGATCCCGATAGTCGCCGTATATCAAGTTATACAACAGAGCTGTTCAGGAAGAGTAAGTTCATTAAAATGTACACTGTGCCTCAGAATCGAAGAAATGTTTCCTTCGTTACAAACGAGTACATATTCTCTTTACAAACGAATATTTTTTTTCCTCCTTACAAATGATTTTTTTTCTTTACAAAGGAAAATTATTTTCCTTCTTTACGAACGATCATTTTGTATCCTCGTATATTCATTAGAGATAGCAGAAAGTACAAAATCTCTCACGCCCCCTAGCACCGGCTTAATCGGTACTCCCACAAAAAGTGTTGAAAGAAATTTATTAAAAATATATGGCAACATTAAAGCTTGATATACCTATATTAGTATTGAACAATATTTTCATTTTTTTTCAGAATATTAAGGATCTTTTGAAACCTGCTGTATATTGGGAGCCACACGATTCAAAAATAGGACGAATCTATAGAAAAACACCATATGTATACGGATCTAACTTCCGGGAAAGATTGTTAAATAACATTCTCGGCATCAACACTAGCACATGAAACCCTTTGAAAAACATTTTTATATTTCTATATTCTTTTATAACATTAAAGTATGATTATGCCCCAGAAATGCTTTTAATTCTATTTTTCAAAAGTTTTTTTTATTTCTGGTACATATTATAGTTTCCAAACACTTACTTATAGGCAATATACATGAACCAACTGTTTTCTTCTGGTGCAAACTAGCAACTAGTGCAGATATAGTGAAAAGTATATTGTATAGAGGTCAAAATAAAACCATGCATTTTTGTAGGTACAATTTAAAAATATGGTTTGACTAAATAATAATTTACATGCATACATTGACCGCATAAGAAGAATAAGTTGCCGCTTGCACTGTGAGGAAATGTTTGAGGGATTCTGTTGCAGAGAGGCAAATGCGTTTGTTTGTAGGTTCTTTTATACAGCAGTATATGGCACAAAGCTCTTACCTAAGGACATAGGTCGTTTTTTATCAGTGCCTTGTTCTTTCTCTATGTAAAGTGTATAAATGTTCGTAAAAAACACCATATTGTTTTGGCAATCATTGAAACAATATATCTTATTCCGTTGTGGATAAGCAGCTCCATTAAATTGCAGGTTCTCCTTGACAGCAATATAAGACACAAAGCTCTACTCCAAATGAAATAGCCTGAGGAGGCCCGCATTGCACGGTCTTATTAAGGTACGGTGGTTCGTTCTTTCTGTATATACATGTAACTGGTAAGAATTTCCTTAAGAACGTACTTTTTCCTGGTGCTTATTGTCTAATTCCGTTGTAGACTAGCCCTTGCATTAGTTTGGATGTTGTCCTTTAGAACAGTACGAGTCACAATGCTCTAGCCGAAGAAATATGGCCTCGAGAGGGCCGCATGGCATGGTCGTTTATGGACCGGTGATTTGCTCTTTTTTAAATAAAAAATATGAATTTTTGTAAAAATACCCCACCATTTTCGGGTGTCATCGGTTCAAGCACGATCGGTTTGATTCCGTTGTGGACTGGACATTGCATTAGTTTTGAGGCCTTTCTTTACAGCAATAAAAGCCAGAAAGCACTAACCCAATAGAAATGGCCTTAAAAAGCCTGCATGGCATGTCCGTTTTAAGGATCGGCGTTTTGTTCTTGCTGCATAGTCTTAGATCGACTGAACAATTATCAAGCATTTTTTTTTTCAGAGACTCATTCCGTTGAACGTTTGCTTTATATCATTTAAACTTGGCACGATAAAGTAATCTTAGAACTTCATAATTATGTGACATGAACATCGTGTACAGTGTTCATGTATAAAAAAAATAAAGTCGTGATCCGGTATACAGTACTGCTTTGGAAATTCTTCTTTTTGGCAATAATACGTTAATTTATCTAACGCAAGGAGAATTGAATTCGAAGTATAATTGCTTTTTGCTTTGGCGATTTATTCTTTAAGTATATAAAGTGTTAAATTAAGTTTTTTATTTTAATATTTTGGCTTTTAAAGCTCCTTATTAGGATAGACAAATTCTTATTAGGATTTCATTTCTTGACTTGTAATAATATCTTATCTTTATTTCTCCTAATAAGGGTTTTAGAACTCCTTATTAAGAGTTACAAAGTTGTATTTCGGTTTATTTTTGTAATATAAATCCGTGTTATTTATTAGTTTATTTAGGTCTCATCCATAACATGTACATATAATTACACATTCAAATAAACTGAAAATACATGTAAATGGTCATTCTTATAAAGATTTAAAGGAGACTTTACCTGTGATGCGTAGTACAAACATGTTAACGAGTATCAAAAAAAATGGTTAAAACACCAAATCCCCCAATAATACAAATTTATTAAAAGTTTTTTTTTAGGGATAAACCCCCATTAGCTGTATAATTACGGGGTGGCGCAAAGTGACCTCATGTGTATGTATTATTTTACGAGCATACTATGTCGTGGCCACGAGATAATTAAGTCGTGGGCACGAGAAACTATGTCGTGGCCTAGAGTACTAAGTCGTGGCCACGAGATAGTTAAGTCGTGCGGATTTGTTATTTCCATTTCTTTTGAGTGTCTCCTTTACTGCAATATTAATGCAGAAAGCCTAACCCGAGCAAAATGTTCGGGGATTTCCGTGTGATATGGTTGTATTTTTTGGACTGGTGATTTCCTCTTTCTGTATAGTTTTTTATAAAGTGCATTAAATTTTTAAAAAGAGCCAACATTTAAAACACCATTTGTCTGATTCCGCTGCGGAGTATTTTTTTTTCATCAGATTGGAGGCTCTTCTTTACTTTACAGGAATATAAGACCAGATCCCTGCCCCATGCAAAATGTGCGAGAATTTATGTTGTGGCATTGTTTTTTTTTTTTTTTTTTTTTTTGTTTTTTTTTTGTTTTTTTTTGTGTTTTTTTTTTACCAGCGATTTATCCTTGCCTAAATATTCGTACTAATCGTTATGATTCCGTTGCGGATTCGTATTAGTTTGGAGAGTTTTATTTACAGCTATATAAGGCACAAAGCCAATAGTTGAAATTTCCTTCCGAATTCTATGGAAGCCTTGGAGGGTCACTTTTGAGTTTTGACTTATAGATTTATTTTACTATTTTCTTATGACTTTTGATTTATGACTTTTGATTTATGACTTTTGATTTTTGACTTATGTATTTTGTTATTTCACACGTGCTTTCCATCATAATTATAATTTCCAAGGAAAATATGTTAGAATATGACAACGATTCAGACGAGGTAAGTTCATTTAGCTAAGTTTCCTGGAGACTTATTTAAAAAAAAACAACAAAATATGTGGGCTCATATGCAAGAACAAAATGTTGTTCTTATATAAGCCTTTTAAATTGATTAAGAAAAGAAAATTCTTTTCTTGCATTGCATTGCATTGGGTATCCATTTTTTATTTTGATTTCCGGAACAGGGATATATAATCTCAAATTGACATACAGCGTATGGAATCAAACGCTTTTTATTTTTTATATGGGTTCCAGTTTTTAAATCCAAACCAGTCTCGCATTGTTTGTTTGCTGCAGTAGTTACAATTCGGTTTTCATCCGTAGATCATTCTTCGTCCATCTAATATTGAATATAGACCAAATTATAGGCCTTATTTTGACAAAGACTTCACACACTTGTTTAGAACACGCTCTAAGTTAGAAATCTCTTTACTTGTTTTTTGCATTGCATTGTTATCAAATTATGCTTCCTTTTCGATTTTGAATTCATGGTTTAGAATTTTCATGAAAAATGGTTTCTCAAACACTATTGTAGCGATTCATTTGAAACTTAGAACACATTTTAAGTGTTGACATCTTAGATCAATGACCAAGTTTCGTATGAGTGGCGCAAAATTTGACATAGTTATGCCCATTTTTAAAGCTAAAATGTTTGTAAGATGTGGTCCCATAAACCAGTTATGATATAATATTGAAACTTAATTCACTTGTTCAGTATCAATAACTTAGGTCACATACCAAGTACAAAATATATGTTATTTGTATATAAACTTTTGATACAGTTATGTATTAAGGGATTTTTTGTATTTCATTTTGTATATTATTATATGTATTTCATTTCAATTGAGATAACACATACTTTTAATGTTTTCAGTTTAAATTCTAGTAAAGCTACCTGTAAGAATTAAGGACGTGCTGTCGAATAGTTTCAACTACAAATCAGTTGCAAGAGCACCAGCAATACATATTTGTCAAGTTTTTGGAGCCAGTTTAGAAGAGTAAGAGGTTTCATGGCAAAACAGCGTTCGTTTCGAGTGAGAAGTAGTACATGTCTAAACACTAGTGATTTGGTTTTCTTCGTTATTGTCTATGGAAATATTCAGACATTTTTGGAATACGAGCGTTACTTTTTCACACTTGTTTCAGACGCTCAATAATTTTCAAGTTTTAACCCCACCACTTAATGTGGACGCTTTATTGGAAACAAGCAATGTCACGTCCCACCATGTTTATTTTATACTGTCCATACCTCCAATATGGTACAAAACTTGTATCGATATACACGTCATGGTGAGACAGAGAAAAGTGTGAAAAATCATGAATTCATAATTCTGGCTTTCATATTTTTCAGTATTTGTAAATTTTCAAACTTAAAAGAAAGGTATCGAAATCAAACTTTGCATGTCGAGGCAGAAAGAAACATACTTCTGCTATCATAGCTACATTTTAGAAAATCCCCTTTGTTGTTGATTTGTTGTTGATTTTTTTTTTCATACTTAGATTTAGTTAAACTCATAATTATCTCAAATCTGGCATCAACTAGAATTTACTGGCAGATATATCTCGGCGAGACAGAGTGCATTGTGTTGTTAACAAAATTTTTGATTATAACATTTAATCGTTCTTCTTAGTTAAACATTCCCTTTTTCGACATGCTGTGGTTTGGGGGTATGCTCATTACGAAAGACTATGATATTTCCATTACATATAAAGTCGGTTATTCTTCATAAAACAAAACGAACTTATGGACGTTATTTAATATATACATTACACAAGGTATAGAGTTTCTTAAAAGTAACTAGGACATTTTAGCTAGAGACTGTGTTTGTTTTTTATCTCTCTTATGAAGAAATAATGCTTTGACAATGATTTTAAAAATCTTCACTTCTATAATAATACAGTCACTTAAGCGTTGCAAGTTTACCTAATTTATCTTATGTTTTCAAAAGCTTCGTTAGATAACTCATGATTTTCTTAGTTTTTCATCAGTAACGTATCAACGATGTGTTGTTTTGTAGAAATATAGCATGTATATATGTCTTCTGTGACGTAAATACTTGATGTTTTTGTTGATGGCAGTGTTTATTTTTAGCTGTCCTTAGTGTAAGCTTTTAAGTAAGGCATGTGTGCTATTTTTAAAAAAATGCTTACCTCTGTATTTCTTATCTCTGTTTTTAAATTAAATATAATGAAGCTCAAATTCAGTTTGTTTTGCCTATCTAATACATTTATTTTCTTATAAGACAACAATTTTGTTAAACAAAATAAAGCACGGTTGTAGAATAAAACATGTTTGTTGTAATCTGTTTAAACGCATTTATTCCAAACAATTATTGATAGCTCTGCCAACCTGTCAATGACAAGAC